AGCTGAGAATCATAAGTCACTCTCCATTTTTCTTCTTCAGTGTCCTACTACCTAAAATGAGTGACAGAGGACATAGAGAGATCCAAGGGAATTTGGGCACCCAAAAGGGGAATGCCACAGGAGTATGTCCTCAAAAAGACAAAGAATTAAAGCTTCAATGCTACAGTAAAGCCATAGAAACAGCATAGTCAAACCTCCACTGGAAGACTGGAGCCCTGGGAAAGTAAGAGAAAAGAGAATGAAAGGGTGTCTCACCACATTCTCCTGACCCAACAAGGAAGAGAGAAGAGGAGACCGGACTGGGGTTTAACATTCCTTATTATCAGTAGCAATCAAAAGAGAACTGCTTTTTCCCTTGAAAATTCAGAGAGAAATGAGGGTCCCACTCACATGGCAAGTCAGATCTGGTCTTGTGGATTTCCTGCCCTTTCTTCTCTACCACAAGTAGTGTGATGTGGTGGTTAGAGACATGAACTTATAGTCAGGGAGACTGAGGTTCAAATCCTGCCCCTCATACTGACTAGCAAACAAGGTATTTCTAGGCAAGTCACCAAATCATCTTCATCCTTTAGACCCTGACCATTTCCTACCCAAGTCCTTTAAATTCACTGAGTTTTACTAAACATTTCTCCCTTCAGGTTAATTATTTTTTTAAGACATGAGCACAAGACACATTCAAAATGACTGGTGTAAAATATCCAATGAAAAAAATAAAATGATTTGTAAAAGGAAACCAAGAAAAGTACAGCCAGCTTTTGGGGCTTCTCGGTTTCTGGGGCCATTTTGAGAGCCTCTCCACTCTTAGGGATAGAAAAGCATTGAATTACTCTCTTTCACCATGGGGACCATTCCAGACTAGTCTGGTAGAGTTGACAATATGTAGGTGTTCCAAGTGTAGAGCAGTGTTGGAAGCCCAGCTTGGACACTTCCTAGCTGTATGCTCACGGAAAAATTAATTAATCTCTCAGAACCTCAGGTTCCTCATCCATCAAATGGGGATAATAATATTCATCCCTATTTCACATGGGTTGTTGAGAGAAAAGAGTCCTTTGCCAACTACAAAACCTCTAAGAATGGGAGTTCTAGGCTAGAAACCAAGCATTTGGAGCTGGAAGGAACCTTAGAGGGATTGAAGTTCAACAAGGACTCATTTTCCTTCCCAATCCCTTTCAAATCTCCCTTGGGATTTCATCTCCCCAGCAACCCTGTGCTGTAGTCAGGGCAGGGAGAATGGGAACACTGCTCCTCCACAACCACCACTAACTAATAGAAAACAGTGAAGAAGAAAAACAGCCTTTCCTTCACTAAAGCTCTTTCCAGCTCTTAAAGCATGTTCTGCTGTCCCTCTTATCTCATGTCAGCCTTAGGCCAGTCTTAAGGGATACCCAGGAGGAAAGGCTTGAATGCATTGCCTAACATCACACAACTAATGCCTGGCAGAGGCCAAGTGGGAGTACCAAGGAGGACTGGATGCATTTCAGGAATTTACATGTGCTTTAGTAAATAGAATGCTGGTTCTGGAGTCAGGAAGACATCTTCCTGAGTTCAAATCTGGCCTTAGACACTTACTAGCTGTGTTACTCTGGGGAGGTCACTTAATGCTGCTTGCCTCAGTTTCCTTATCTGTTAAATGAGCTAGAAAAGGAAATGGTAAATCACTACAGTATCTCTGCCAAGAAAACTAAAATGTGCTGATGAGCAGTCAGACACAACTGAAATGACTCAAAAACAACAACAACATATTGATCTTCAAAAGGTGATTGAAATAAATCAT